GAGAATGAAAGTAAAAGAGACGAATAAAACTAGGAGCTGCGAAGGCGTTCAAAAAGGAGGGGATGGGGAATAACATAATGACTAATGATGAGAAATGTGAGATGGAAAGAAAGGAAAACTCAACGAATCCTGAAACAGCTCATCGTGTGATATCTAGTGAAAATGTATTCCCTATTTTCCCCCAAAAAGTCCAACATAACCTGTCATTATCCACCTGGAACATGCACACAAGTCTTTACACTTTTATAGGAGATGATTCATGGAGAAGGAAAAGGAAATGTTTATAGTATGTTTAGGAGAAGATCAGGCTTATGCTGAAAATGAAATTGGCAAGTAACGTGAACAATATCTGTGTTCAAATGACTACGAAAGCAGCAAGTTACGTGAACAACAAGTCAAGCTTTGGGTTCAAATAACTCGACAAGGAGCAGGTTACATGAAAGAAACGTCAGCATTTGGATGAAAATAACCAAAAAAGTGAACATTTCGTGAAAAACAACTCAACGTTTGGGTTGAAAAGCCCCTGAAGTAGCAATTTATACGAAAAATAAGTACATTTTTGTGTAAAAATAACTACAAAAGTGGCAGGTTTCATGAAAACAAGTCAATGTTGGGGTTAAGTAGCTCCAGAAGTGGCAAATACGTGAAAGAAACTACAAAAGTAGAAAGTAACGTGAACAACAAGTCAACCTTTGGGTAAAAAAGCACCAAATTAGGTGAAGAATTATCCACTTTTTAGTAAAAATAACAGTGGCAGGTTAAATGAAAAACAAGTCAATGTTTGGGTTAAAATAACTATGGAAGTGGCGAGAAAGATACAATCCCATCAGCTGTTGTTGTTATTTTAATTTATTACACGGCTTAGTTGTATACTCGATTCTGATTGGTCAAATATATGTGAACATAGGATCTGCTAACAAGGATGTATAAGCACACAGACACACAACACACTCACATACATGCACACACCAATGCAAATGTAAATGCAGAAATGCACACACTGAATCACGTATGAGCAGTAAAGTCTCTTTCACACACACACACACACACACACACACACACACAGACACACACACACACACACACACACACATACATACACACACACACACACACACACACACACACACACACACACACACACACACAGAGGAAGTGTGCAGGCTGCAGCAGCAAAGCCGTCATTTGCATGAAAAACGAAGCGGAAGTGAAACTCCTTAATGTACGCACTGTACTCAGACACACACACACACACACACACACACACACACACACACACACACACACACACACACACACACACACACACACACACACACACACACACACACACACACACACACACACACACACACACACACACACACACACACACACACACACACACACACACAGACTACTTTCCATGCCATTTGAATGCAAAAACAAAGAGTCCAGTGGACCTGTGGCTACCTGGAGGAAATGGGAAACAAAACTAACTGCTGTTGTCTCGGCAACAGTCATACCCCATAATGCTATGCAAATTATGCCGCTCTGTTATCTCACTTGTGGCCTGCACACACACATTTAGAGTGTGTGTGTGTGTGTGTGTGTGTGTGTGTGTGTGTGTGTGTGTGTGTGTGTGTGCGTGCGTGCGTGCGTGCGTGCGTGTGTGTGTTTGTGTGGATGATGCTCACCCAAAGGCCATTCATTTGGACACAGCTGTTAGTCAATGCACATAATCGTCACTCTGCCCTTTGTGTGTATGTGTCTGTGTCTGTGTGTGTGTGTGTGTGTGTGTGTGTGTGTGTGTATGTGTCTGTGTCTGTGTGTGTGTGTGTGTGTGTGTGTGTGTGTGTGTGTGTGTGTGTGTGTGTGTGTGTGTGTGTGTGTATGTGTCTGTGTCTGTGTGTGTGTGTGTGTGTGTGTGTGTGTGTGTGTGTGTGTGTATGTATGTGTCTGTGTGTGTGTGTGTGTGTGTGTGTGTGTGTGTGTGTGTGTGTGTGTGTGTGTGTGTGTGTGTGTGTGTGTGCGTGTTACTGTCAAGGCCACAGCTTGCATCCGTCGTACCAAGCGTTGGTCACCATGGAAACTGTACATACACACTTTCCCTCTTTACCTTTTTTCTACTTCTCAACATACTACTGTGTGCGAGTGGACGTGAATGAAAGTCTGTGTGTGTGTGTGTGTGTGTGTGTGTGTGTGTGTGTGTGGTGTGTGTGTGTGTGTGTGTGTGTGTGTGTGTGTGTGTGTGTGTGTGTGTGTGTGTGTGAGTGAGTTCACTTCCTGCATTGCTTAAGCCAATCAGTGGACAGGGATCAATGTGAGCGCTCTCATTGGCTGACTGTCCACTCACTACTGATGTTTTTTTTTAATTTTTTTTTTTCGGTGGACCTCTCAATGTATCGACTCCAGTTACCATGGCGCCCGCATCCTCTTGGTCCTCCATCTCTTCTTCTCAGTTTTATTTCCTGTTGCTGCACTCAGTTTTTGGCTCGTGTTGCTCAGCTCTCATTCCTCTCTTTCTCCTCACTGAGATGTGTTGTTTTATTTGTCATTTTTTGTTGTTTTAGAAAAGTTGTTGCGCTATAGAAGTCTTACTCTGCCTTTACAGAATGATGATGAATTAAAGGAGAAAAGATGAATACATGAGATCATAACCTCGAGCTATTACAATCCCAGTGGCCACATCTCAAATTGTATTTGAACACTCTGTTAAATGTGATATTATGTTGCGATGCTGCATGTATCTGAAAAGGTCTCAACATCTGATCTGAGGGGAATTTATTGTGGTTTATTCTTAACTTGTGACGTGTGCCATTTTGTAAAGCACTTTGAGATGCACGTGCTGTATGATAAGTGCTATATAAATAAAGCTTTATTATTATTCAGTTATGTTTACATTATGTCCAAATCTTGAAGTCATTGCATTTAAAATTGTATTAAAAACTACAAACTCTTTGCATCACTGCACGTAATATTCATATCGTATCCTATGTAGAGATTTGCTTTGTAGAAGGTTGGTTAATCACAGTGCATTTTAGCATTTTTTTATATTTTATACACACACACACACACACACACACACACACACACACACACACACTCAGGTGATGCATGTGAGAGCATGTGCACAGTGTGCAGGCTCTGACGCACATCCTGTTTTCTGTAGTGTGTTCACTGAGATGACACCGTATGAAGTTTAAAAACCACCTCGTTTGAGCTCTGAGGTGCAGATAGTGATCTCTACTTTACATGATCTATTTCTGTGCACTGTCAGAGTCAACCACACACACACACACACACACACACACACACACACACACACGCTAAAGGATGTGAAAGCGAGGAGGAGAAATAGAGACAGACAGTCGGAGGGTGTTTGGATGACACGCTTTATCTCGTCCTTGATACGAAGCCGCCTCTTTCACAGGAAGAGGAAGTGACACCGCTCTCACACACACACACACATTAACACACACACACACACACATTAACTAACACACACACACACACACACACACACAGCGCTGTTTCTTCTACTATGCAGCAATCACACATTTAAAAAGCGAAGAGAGAAAAACATCCCTCTTTTTTGAGCCTACTTTTCAACTCAACAGCCATTTAATAACCTTATTCGTGCCTTTCCTCTGCCCTGTTCTCTTGCTGTATCAATGTAAATATCCCCGCTGAGGGACACATACAGTATTTCTGATTACAGAAGTCCTTCTCCATGTGTTTAATCGAGACTCTGTTCACCGTCACTACTACAGAAGTATCTTCTCATCATGTATTCTGCATCGACACCACTTCTCCTTTCTCTTGTGTTGTGATCACAGATGTAAAATGTGTCCTCTCTCACCTACATGACCTTTGGGGGTTATTATGGAGAGATGCTTTAATATACCTGAGGCCTCTGTGCCCTTTGACCTCCATGCTGTTGCTTGTAGTTTAGCAGTAGACAAAGAAAATGAAGTCTGTTGTTGACCTTAGTTTTGTCTCTACGTGAACTATAAATACGGTGGATACACTGTAAAAAATGCAGGACTTAAATCTGTATTAGGAAGTAAAATGTCCCATAAAATATCAAATAAAAAATATTTCAAAATAAGAACAGAGTGATATTACTACATAAATGCTGAATATCACATTTTAAATGGTTGTAAAACACCACGCTGTCTCTGCTTATTCATCACTTTTTAAATCAGACAGGGGGACAGAAACTTCTCTTCTTGCTCCCAGTCGAGGTCACACCTCCGCTAACGAAGCTGGACGGTTACCGCGGTAACCAACGAGGGTGAGGGGGGGAGAAACAGCGAGAGTAATTTCTGTCTAAATGAGAAACGCTCGACTCTCCCTCTCTCTCATCACAAAGGGAGCGGCCATTTTATCTCATACAGTAATGACGGTTATTATTACAAAGACGGATTATTTTTCCACCACCATTTTATCCTTTTTCCATTTTATTTTTAAGGATTTATCGCATCAGTTTTCTTCATCTAGTCTCTCAAAATTAAGACTTTTCTGTTTGCTGCTGCCTTTTATTATAATATATAGCTATTAATATCTTACAATGCAATGTTACTTTCATTTTTGTATTTTTTTTAACCTTTTTTAGCTTGTTTTATTTTCATTTTCTGAGTTTTTTAATGATAAATATATCCTTATTTTTTATTTATTTTTGTGATTGTTTAAATGTGCTATATGATTACACTTTTGTATTATTTTGTATTATATTTTTATTTATTTTTCACATGCCTTTTGCCACTTATCATAGTTACTGCAAACACCTCATGACTTCATGTGTGTATCTTCTACCTGTATTACAAGCGCTTGTTGTGTATGACTTCCAGCTACAACACACACACTCACACACACACACACACACACACACACACACACACACACACACACACACACACACACACACACACACACACACACACACACACACACACACACACACACACACACACACACACACACACACAGACACAGTTTTTCAGTTTCATGGATCTTACCTGGTGTAGCTTTTTGTCCTCTGGCTCGGTTTAGAAAGTCCAAAACTCGTCACAGCTCCTGGGGGACAAAGAGAGGAAGAGGATGATGAAGAAACACAGTACTTTTGTGTATATCCACCTGGTGTAAACACACTGTGTGTACTGTAAGAAGATGTGTAACAACATGGCCGCCTCATGGACTGCAGACAGTAGGAGTCCCTGAATGCAACGCACCATCAGTACATTTTTAAAGTAGTTTATCGTGGTCCCATCATGGTTCTTACTGACCATTTATGGACAAAAAAATTGATGCTTAAGCAGTTTTCCATAGTTCATAACCTCCATAAGAATACATGATCAGGTCGGGCAAAAAAGTGTAGTTAAGATGCATTTATGTACTTTTATTTTGGGGTAATTCATCTTAGGAAACACCTTAAAGCAATAGATTGACATTGAAGCACACTGTTTGCTTTACGGGAGAGACAGAAACCATTACTGTGAGGCTACAGCTAGATGCTAGTTAGCTTAGCTTAGCACAAAGACTTGAAACGGGGGGAACAGCTAGCTTAGCTCTTAGCTAACTTATTACCTCCTACTTTCTCCTTTCTAGCCAGCCAAACATGATCAAATCTTCAAATAAATTGACAGAAAAGCTCAAAAAGTGCTGCTTAATTATACCTAAAAAACACTTCAATAAATTATAGAATATAAAAATGCCTAACTTCTATTAGCCCTCCTGAAAAAAGGTTTAAAATAATGCTTGAATATCAAATTAATAGTAAACAGGATTCAATGCACCACCTCGATCGGCACAAAATCAACATGAGCATTTGTTAGATTAACATTTTAACGTCCAGGTGTCCACAAACTTCTACTTTTTTTAGTCGAAAGGTCAAAAGGTCATCAGACTCTTTCTGTGTGAAGAAGTGACAGGCTGCGGTTTTTAATCTAACATTTCTAAAAGACTCTTTGTGGATTGTTTGACGTTTCAAACCCCAAATAAAAACAGGTGACGTTGAGTCTCAGGATCACTCGAGTCAGCCGTCTGTCGTCTGGATTTTTTGTCACGTATTTCTTTGATGTTTTAGTTGTTTTTCAGCCCGTTGGGGTTTCTGTTCTGTCCCCCCCGCTGAGATTGGATTTACTTTCATCCCCTGATATTTCTGTTCTTATCTTTCTTATGGATATGCAAATAACTCAACATACAGCAGTGACTGTCTCTGGGTTTTAATTGTGATAACTCCACAGTGGCAGATAACAAGGAGGTCTGGAAACGATTGTTTAATATTTAAGATTTATCCACGACAAAATGCTCAATTTGAAAGAGATCAAATCAAGCTAGTGCAAAATACAAATACAATAGTGTACAATAGTATAACAAATACAAATACACTAGTAGTACAAATACAAATAGAGTAGAAAAAAGGACAAAAGGTTCCTCAAAAAGCATTTTATTTTTCCTTTTTTCTTTGATTTTAATAAACAAGTGATGATTCAAAAGAAATATTGAATTATTTGAAATATATTTATAAATTTTTTATTGAACTTTTCATTCATCTATTTCAAGATCACAGTTAAAGAAAAACAAAAACGTTGAATATTTGTACAGACCTGCCTCATGTGCGTCAGTAAGATGTCCTGCACTTCCCATAATACAACTAGACATCCCTCATATGAGCTAAATGGAATTTTCTCTAAGCTTTATTTAAACTTATATGGAGCCGTAAGTTACTGCAAGAACAAGAAATGAGAGTTTCCCAGTGAGAGAAAGTGAAACTCGTAAACTAAACTCGAAACCTAACCATCAGTTTTATCGTTGTAGTACTTCTGGTTTCATTTATGTGGGTGCAAATATGTATATTTCCTCCCGTTATGACTGAGCGTCGCTGAGACACAGCGGTAGTAAATCGATCGTGACTCACATCCGAATAACTGAACACATGTGGCTGTAACAAAACCAATCTGATACTCTAATAATCCGAAAAGCGATGAAACAAAACTATGAAATGGTTATTTAATGAGCTGTCTATACATTAAGTTGAAAGCATTTTGATCTGTATCCAGTATGGATGTTGTCAGTTGTGTGTTTTCACATTACAAAACAGTGATTTAGCTCTCCTGTCTGATGCATACATGCATGAAGTGAGACTAATTACAAGCTGTTCAGAAAGTAGGCCAGTTTGGGTAAAGGTCTCTCCCTCTAGCTGTGTCTCAATTTGGAAACACTCACACAGTGCTGTTAGCTAGCCAGCTAGCAACAATGGATCACGGTAGCAAATCATTACAGACTTCTCAAATAACTTAATGGTGGCTTCTATTTGACACAAGTATAGTGGTGGTTTCTTTACATAGTGAAACAAAACAACTGTATAATTGTCTTTTGTGTAAAGCTGTGGTTGTTGAGTTTAAGAAATGTCCTGCCTTCCACATTTGACTTTTTGACCTTTGTGAGAGCACCGCATGCATTTGGCCATACTTCCTTTTTTGACACACTTAAAATGTCACATGTGAGTATACAAATATGCAAATGAAAACACAGCCTTTCTCTTCGTATCTCTCCCTCTATCACACCTGACATTACCTCCATTTGAGTAAACAGTGGTTAGGCTTCTTTCCCTGTCACACACACACACACACACACACACACACACACACACACACACACACACACACACACACACACACACACACACACACACACACACACACACACACACAACACACACACACACACACACACACACACACACACACACACACACACACACACACACTAAAACACACACACACACACACACACACACACACACCACACACACAGTTTCTCGCAATGATGTGAGTAAAACAATCACATTTTTGCCATCTTAAATTGAAATGCCGCCATACGATTGGCTGCTGTTGACCTATACAGTCAGCAGTAAGGTGACTTCTGATTGGCTGAGGGATAAACATGTCCACATGATATAGGTTGGAGGGAAAGTCCTTCAGTGCAGCTAGCACAACAAGCTGATATCTCACACACTCTCTCTCAAACACACACACACACACACACACATATACACACACACACACACACACAACACACACACACACACACACACACACATATACACACAACACACACACACACACACACACACACACACACATATACACACACACACACACACACACATATACACACACACACACACACACACACACACACACACACACACACACACACACACACACACACACACACACACACACAGCTGAGCAGAAAAGTGTGTCAGCAGCTGAGAGAATAGACACACTCTTGGTACAGCTTGAAGACCTCTCATCTCCTCATCCTCCTCTTTGTTTCCTCTTATCTCCTTTCCTCATACACTCATGTCATTTCCTCCCTTGTGCACTAGTTTCGTCTCCTATTCTCTTGTATCTCATACCCTCATCACTTATGTCATCTTCCTCTCCTCCTCCTCCTCCTCCCCCTCCTCCATGTTATACTGAATATCTCACCGGTAATAAAACTAAACCCCAGAGGAGTAATTTATCAGGAGAAGCAGACCATTATCTGTGTGTGTGTGTGTGTGTGTGTGTGTGTGTGTGTGTGTGTGTGTGTGTGTGTGTCTTAATAATTCAGTCGTCACTGTCAGGTCCACGGTCACCGGAGGACTCTCAGGTTCCTCTACAGCTCAGGTGATCACACACACACACACACACACACACACACACACACACACATACACACACACACACACACACACACACACACACACACACACACACACACAACACACACACACACACACACACACACACACACACACACACACACCACACACACACACACACACACTGCAGTTAATAGAATACACACACTCCTCTGTTAGGACTATTGGAAAACGCTCTCTTCTCCTCAGCTTGTTTCCTCTCCTATTCTCTTGTTTCCTCTCCTTTGCTCTCATTTCCTTCCCTCTTCTACTAACCTAACTTCCTTTCCTTATATACCTCTCCTTTCCTCACTTCTCATTTACATTGTGCTCCACTTGTTTCCTCTCCTCGTTTCTCCTGTTCACCTTTTTCCTTTCCTCACCTATTGCTTCCTCCCCTCTTTCCTCACCTCTTCTCTTGTTTCCTCCTCCTATATTCTCCACTTGTTCCTCACCTCCTCTCCTCTCCACTTGTTTCCTCTCCTCGTTTCTCCTGTTCACCTCTTTCCTCACCTCTTCTCTTGTTTCCTCCTCCTATATTCTCCACTTGTTCCTCACCTCCTCTCCTCTCCCCTTGTTTCCTCTCCTCTCCCCTTGTTTCCTCTCCAGATAAGCGCTGGCTCAGTGGTTTTGAAGCCTGAAATCCTCTCTTAATGCTGGGTTTATTCTGCTCTCACAGGAGGATCAGTGTGTGCAGGTGTGTTTGTGCTGCAGCTGTTGAGTTATAATCCACTCGGAGGTGTTCAATACGTCACGATAACAGCGTGGTGAGGCGCGGAAAGCCACGACACAAAGTGGAGCAACGCTTTCTGTCAAACCTGAATCTAAAATCTGCACAATGGGGGAAATGTCAATTGACCTCTTTTCATGCATTGCATATATTTTAAAGTCTATGCATGTTATAGTGTATTATGGGAGGAGCCTGGGACTTCATATTTTCTGTTGTGAATACGACAAGAAAGCCTTGAATGTTGTATTAAAGTAGGAAATGTGGGTCTTGTAAAATAAATGTGAAATGTGTGGGTTTTGTGTGTAAGGACTTTTACTTGTAACAGGATTTCTACACTTAAGTATGTACGGGATCATCATCTGTACATGCAGAATGGAGCGTGTGTGTGTGTGTGTGTGTGTGTGTGTGTGTGTGTTTGATCACACCATGCCATACATCTGCAGTCATTTCCAAATTCCCCAGCTATGATGTGTGCGGCGTGTTAATTGACAGCAAATGCAAAGACGTATCACATCTCCAGCAAGTGACACATGGCTAGTGGCTCTACACACACACACACACACACACACACACACACACACACACACACACACACACACACACACACACACACACACACACACACACACACACACACACACACACACACACACACACACACACACACACACACACACACACACACACACACACACACACACACACCAATAATCCATCGAAGAAAGACTACATCTAAAGCGCCTGCTGTGTTTTTTACTAGACAGCAGCAACGTCCACATCAGCTGTTACAAAGCACTTTGAATTGCCTTGCCTTGCCTTGCCTTGCCTTGCCTTGCCTTGCCTATAAAACAAAAGAGACATTGTGTTTTATTATACTACAGTAGCCTATTAAATTGAAGTATTTTGGGACAAAGCATCCTCCAAAAGGATGAAATCAATCAATTTGGTACCACATTGAAACAGAGGTTAAAACACCTGTTATCACCTGACAACATGAGCAAACTATGAGATACTCCCTCTGAAAGAATCACAGGGAATTTAGCCATTGCAGACCATTTACATGCACTATAACCTATATAACAGGAAAGGGAGAACCCCAAAAACCATAATAGAGCCTCGTTAAGCTTCAAAGCTAGCTATACTCTAGGGTTAATAGTAGCCAAATAACGAAAGGCCTGCCTGACACAGATTCAGCTGTTGGCTAACACAGCCCTGGTGAATCAAATCAAGGGATTAAATGATTGTCAGAACTCAAATATCTCCAAGTCCTACAGCTGAAACATGTAGTGTGTTATGTATATATATAAATCTATGTGTGCATGCAAACACACGTAGAGGTCCTGCAAGGCCTGTGAAATAAATTAATTGGATATCTACTGCAGATTAACTCACACCGTGTTCTCTGTACGCCTATCCACCCTGGTGACAGTGTGTGTGTGTGTGTGTGTGTGTGTGTGTGTGTGTGTGTGTGTGTGTGTGTGTGTGTGTGCCTGCTCCTACGCAGCCCTGATGGCCATCTGAGGTGGCAGAGGGACAGACGGTACGTAGGTCGGACTTTCTCCGTGCACGCCCTCACACACACATTAACCACACACACGTGCACGCTCACAGCCGTGCAGAGCAGAACACACACTCTTCAGATGCAGGTTTGTAAGCTGGCCAATATGTGTGTGTGTTATTGCTCTCCAGCATTCATCAGTGTCTTTATTTCAACTTCCATTTTATTCCTCTGTTGTGCAGCGGGCACAGCTTTTCAGTGTTTCTAAAAATAAAAACCTTTACACTGTCAATCCAGAGTTTAAAATTAGCTGCTTCCCTGCCAACACAGACGATAAACACACAGCTCAGACAATAATATAAGACCAACTGTTAAACAAAGAAATCCAGTTATTATTCAAACCATTTTAATTGTATTTGTTTAATTTCTCGTGTAGGAATTGTCTGTCTTGATATCAACAGTCATCACTATTATGTAATTATAATTTATTTACTGCATGAATTTATTAACATTTTAATTATTTTACTATGTATATTTTGGGGGATTTCTTAGATTTTAAAGATATTTTTTGTTTCTTGTAATAGAAATAAATATTTCTACTTATGTTATTTATTTATTTACTGCATGCATTTGAGACGATGATGCTGGACCTTTAGTATTACAATCATAATCCAGTTATATTGCCAAGCAGGTTTTCACATGGAAAGATAAAATAAAATAAAAGCATGTGTTGCAAAACAAACATAGAATAAGAGAAATACATGGATAAAGAAAGAAAGAAAAGGAAAAAAATAGAATAAAAAAGGGACAAATGCAACCAAATAAATGTATAATAAATGTTAAAATTGCCCTTATGGTTAATATGTTCTTTTTTGTGCTTCCTGTGACTCATTAAGCATTAAATAACTGCTCTAACCTGCAGCAGAAATCCTTAAACCACCTTTCATCCACCTTGCATAATGTCCTTAAGTACAGTAGGCTTTGACCCTGACCCTGACCTCTGACCTCACTGTGGGAAAAAAAGACAGCTTCCCTGGGATCATGGGGATTATGACGTGCAGAAAAACACACCGTGCTTATAAAATACAGCCGGGAAAAAAGCAGCTAAGAGCTCCTGAAGTGTTATTATCCGGCTGCAGTTTGGTAAAGAGCAGCGCAGGGTACCGGTCGTGTGTCGGAGTCTCCCCGGCTGGGGCCCCTCTCTAGACGGCAACACGTCATGGAACATTCCCGGAACCAGCCAGCGCACCACCCACCATTTCTCTCACTCTCTCTCTCCAACACACACACACACACACACACACACACACACACACACACACACACACACACACACACACACACACACACACACACACACACACACACACACACACACACACACACACACACACACACACACACACACACACACACACACACACAAACAGAGGAAGCAAGCGATGAGCATATGAGATAAAGTCACTCCCTGCTGAAAAATAACTCTTAAAAACTGTGTTCAGATTGGACACAACAACAATAACAACAACACTGTAGCTTCCTTTTACATATCTGAGGCATGATCACACTGTAGCGACAACAAGGAAATACCAGAGAGAGCTAAGGTCACCTCTCAAACTCACTTTTAAAACACTCCAAAAGCTTAACACAGTGGTGACATTAAAGGCTGCCAAAACAACCCAAATGTAGGAAGAGTTTTGTTGTTTGTGCACAAAAATATCGAGCTTCCCAAACGCTAAAAATCACACCATCACATCTCCAAGCTTCCACTTTCACAGCTTCATATCCAGCAACACTCCTCCCTCCCTCTCCCTTCTCCCTCTGTAGCCTACGTCTTTCCCCCGGCCCTCAGCCGTGCAGGCTACTGCGAATTCCTCAGGATATTACGCAACACGGGTAATCTGCATGCAATGCAATGCGTGCCCGGGGTATTCCCCCTGCATAGCCTTGCCCTTATAAGCCAAACAAAAAAGATCAAGTGCGGCGAAAACAGCCCATAATGTCCGTCATGGCGCGGAAAAGCCCACTGTCACTGTGTTGTGTGAGAGAATATGTCCGGTAAGGTTTCGTTTTCTTACCTTCAGTCTGCGCTCCGGCTGCGCGTGTCCTTCCTGAGCGAAAATGACAACAAGCAACCCTCTGACAGGAGACCCGTGTCCGGGGTGACACCTCGTTGTTTGTCCGCTGGAAACAGCCAGGAGACGGGGGTTAGAAATCCACAAGAGTCGGGGGGAAACGTCGCGGCGAGGAAGCCGAAGGAGGAAAAGTTGCGCGTAAAAATGGAAGGAATCCTTTCCGACCGGATTTCTTGCTGCCGCTGCTGCAGTCAGACAGACAGTAAAGTGTGCGCGTCTCACTGTGTTGTGAGTGTGTATGTGTGCGTGTGTGAGGGTGAAATCAGGAGACACACGCACACACACACTCGTACGCACACGGGGGTTATTCCAAACGCCACTTCCCAGAATAGCAGCATAGAGGAGAGTGAGAGAGAGCGAGAGAGAGAGAGAGAGAGAGAGAGAGAGAGAGAGAGAGAGAGAGAGAGAGAGAGAGAGGAGAGAGAGAGAGAGAGAGAGATATAGAGAGAGAGAGAGAGATAGAGATAGAGAGTAGAGGATCTAGTAGGTGCTGTGTTGTGTGTGTGTGTGTGTGTGGTGTTGTGTGTGTGTTGTGTGTGTGTGTGTGTCTGTGTCCGTGTGCGTACGTCGTCGGATCCCCCGACGCGCAACCAGGACAGAGGGAGGGGAGGGGAGGGAGGAGGAGCAGTGGCCGAAGAAGAGCTCTGTCTGCCGGCAGAGAGCAGGATTCCCCGGTCACCTCTGGAGCGACCTGTCTGTCTGTCTGTCTGTCTGTCTGTCTGTCTGTCTGTCTGTCTGACTGTCTGTCTGTCTGTCTGTGCATTCAGCTATAGGCTAAGACTGGATATAATACATACCTTTATCATACATAGATAGATAAATAAAGATATTCGTCATTATGAATAATACAATATTTAAAATAAATAAGATAGTCTTATAAATTACAGTGTATGTCATTGTCAATGTTATAATATATTAAATTGTTGTAATTAAATTAAACTATCCTAATTAAATTACCCTAAAATAATTGTTTTATTGATTATTTTTCTGACATTTGCATCCTTCTTAAAAAGGACACACAAACAATAAAACGATACGTGTCATCTACAGAATGTATACCTATTTGTTACGCCCTACACTTAGGCTATGAGGCTAACAAAACTCCACCACCGGCCAAAATGCACCACAGAGAGCTCTTTTTAACAATCAAATGCATGGGTTTCATTATAAGAAGCCAAATGAACAATACAATATAAATCCTGCACAGGTGCAGCTCCTTGGCGCCTCGTGAAGAGCAATTAAACACACCTGGGCGGAGCTACAGGAGAGGGGAAACCCAGGGAACAAACAGCCATAACAATATCATAGATTCATTTATCTCGTCATCCAATTATAAGACTTTTAAGCAAACATCCTGAATACATTGGATGGTAAAAGCCAGATATGTGAAACGAGTTTCCATAGTATTCATTTCTCTTTGGGCAGCCAGAATTACAGAAACCATGCGAAACCCTCTGGTTCATGTGTTGCCAGGTTTAAGGTGAGTCCTCTCCGCAGTAACACACTCTTTCATCTTTGAAACACATTGAGGAATACAGAGGGGCTCATTTAGGCAGCCCTCCTGCTAATAAATTAAATCAGGATTGATAAAACCCCTTTAATCCTTTGACAGGTTCAGATGTGGCGGGCTCTTTGTGCTAACAAACTACATTAGCTTTTGTTAGCGCCCTTTAGCAACAGGTGGCAGGTTTAAAGCAGCTCTGGTTTGATTGCTCTGACACAAAGAAGCCTGTAATGTGAAAGGGAGGACGCGGGACATAACTGTCCACTGGGATGATAAAGGACTTTTGAACAACTGTCAGATTCTTCAAATAGCTCCAATTGTACCTGAGAAACCATAATGACACATAATAGCATCCCTGGTAGGCTACAGTGGCTGACAGGTGCACAAAACCAAAAGCCAAAAACATTTCAAAGATGGGAAAGGCACTGTAATTTTAAAAGCAAATATAAAAACACAAATGGGCCTAAACTCATGCAAACGAAAAACATCTTCACCTACTGGAGGAGACATGCGCAGCGTTTACTAAAAGCTGCAAGAAGCTCAAAACACAACGGTGACCAGGGGACACTAAAGAGTGACGCACACAGCTGGGAGACCAGGGGACACTAAAGAGTGACGCACACAGCTGGGAGAACAGGGGACACTAAAAAGTGACGCACACAGCTGGGAGACCATGGGACACTAAAGAGTGACGCACACAGCTGGGAGAACAGGGGACACTAAAAAGTGACGCACACAGCTGGGAGAACAGGGGACACTAAAAAGTGACGCACACAGCTGGGAGAACAGGGGACACTAAAAAGTGACGCACACAGCTGGGAGACCATGGGACACTAAAGAGTGACGCACACAGCTGGGAGATCAGGGGACACTAAAGAGTGACGCACACAGCTGGGAGACCATGGGACACTAAAGAGTGACGCACACAGCTGGGAGACCAGGGGACACTAAAGAGTGACGCACACAGTTGGGAGACCAGGGGACATTAAAGAGTGACGCACACAGCTGGAGACCAGGGGACACTAAAGAGTGACGCACACAGCTGGAGACCAGGGGACACTAAAGAGTGATGCACACAGCTGGGAGACCATGGGACACTAAAGAGTGACGCACACAGCTGGGAGACCATGGGACACTAAAGAGTGAAGCACACAGCTGGGAGACCAGGGGACACTAAAGAGTGACGCACACAGCTGGGAGACCAGGGGACACTAAAGAGTGACGCACACAGCTGGGAGACCAGGGGACACTAAAAAGTGACGCACACAGCTGGGAGACCAGGGGACACTAAAGAGTGACGCACACAGCTGGGAGACCAGGGGACACAAAAGAGTGACGCACACAGCTGGAGACCAGGGGACACTAAAGAGTGACGCACACAGCTGGGAGACCATGGGACACTAAAGAGTGACGCACACAGCTGGGAGACCAGGGGACACTAAAGAGTGATGCACACAGCTGGGAGACCAGGGGACACAAAAAAGTGATGCACACAGCTGGGAGACCAGGGGACACTAAAAAGTGACGCACACAGCTAGGAGACCAGGGGACACTAAAAAGTGATGCACACAGCTGGGAGACCAGGGGACACTAAAAAGTGATGCACACAGCTGGGAGACCAGGGGACACTAAAAAGTGACGCACACAGCTGGGACGGAGCGCTTGGTGACGTTCAGGATTATGAAGCTGAACAACTGTCTCTGTCTCGGAGTTAGTCGTCTCATAACTGTAAGTGTTTGTCAGGATATCTGAAATTACAAGGTTAGCTACGTTAGCTAGCTAGCTTACATCAGAAGGAGTCATGTGACCACTTTGTGAAATAAGACCATACAACATTTTGGGTGAGTTTCCAACAACAGAGACACTTTTTAGTGTCCTCTGGTCTCCCATCTGTGTGCGTCACTTTTTAGTGTCCCCTGGTCTCCCAGCTGTGTGCGTCACTTTTTAGTGTCCCCTGGTCTCCCAGCTGTGTGCGTCACTCTTTAGTGTCCCCTGGTGTCCGTTGTGTTTTGAGCTTCTTGCAGCGTTTAGTATTTGCAGCGTTTGCTTTCTGCAGCTTTTAGTAAACGCTGCGCATGTCTCCTCAAGTTGCTGAATGTTTTCTAAATACTGCATGTGTTGTCAAGTTGCTGGAGATGTTTCTTCATTTGCATGCATTTTGAAATTGCAGCGCTTCTCTCCTAATGGGAATGTTTTGAGATGTAGCGGGTTTGGACATGTGGGCCACCGTAGAATTGCTTTTACATCGCCTTTACACTTACCTTTGCACTGTGCATTTACTACACTATATGTGTAATTGAGCAAAGCATTTCCATGTTAGGGTTAGGGGTCGGGATTTATAAGGTTGAGAAGCACTCATTTTTAACTACAGTATAAAATGCCAGATGCCAGTTTTTTCTTCAGTTATTTCAGATCCTAATTTGCAGGAGTGTTGTGAATCTGCTGGGTGTGAATCGCACCATATGCTTACAGTTTCTGAGACGTTTAATCTGCCGGCTTCATATTATATATTCCAGCTCTTTAAAGACACTAGTGAATGCGCTGCTGTAGATATAAATAGCAGGAAGTGGTCACATCTCTGACCTCCGGCAGAAAAAACCTCTCAATGGAAGTCCTCTTCTTTCTTCTCTGTGTGTGTGTGTGTGTGCGTGTGCGTGTGCGTGTGCGTGTGCGTGTGCGTGTGTGTGTGTGTGTGCGTGCGTGTGTGCGTGCGTGCGTGTGGGCTGGCCAGAGATAAGTGGATTAACGTCTGCAGCATCCCATAAGAGGCTCATTGGGATGTGACCTCATCACAGGTGACCCCGGAGTCCCCATGGCGACGCCGTGGCAACAAGCTCCATGGCGACAGGGAGCTGCAGCAGCCTCCATTTGCATCTGATTTCCATGTGGAGTCCAGCAGGAAGCAGCAGGCACGCTGTTTCTGCACCTATATCACACTGTATCTGTGCCATATTGACTAATCTATTTGAATACACTACTGCATTTTTTGTTATATGCATTTTAACATTTTAATTTCAGTTTTTTATTGTAAAAGATGCCCATTTTTACATCGCTTACTCTGTTTCTGCAGGCGTATTATACTGTATGTGTTCAAAACTGTGCCATATAGACTAATTCATTATAATACACTGCATGAATTGTTATGTATGCATTTTTTTATATTTATTTAATTTTTTTATTTTAAGAGATGCACATTTTTACTTGTTTATATTATTATTCTATTTTATTTCTTTTTTCTGTGCACATTTGTACGCTGATATGTATTAATGTCCACCTTTAGCTCCTTTTGTTATCCCCTCCAACTCCAACTTTCTAAACCAAGTAGTCTTGTACTTTATGTGTCGTTTGCTCTTTTGCACAAAGCCTACAGTGGGTGTATCAGAGCTTGTTTGCTGAATAACGTTTCGGCAGTTGTTTGAAACAGGATTTTCAAGAGAAACAAGGCTAAACCATGCAATATAAATACGCATTAAAAGCAAAATTATGTGTTGAAAGAGACTCAAAAGCTCTGTGGATCTGCAGAGATGCTTCTCAGTTGTTACTCTGAGTGTTTTAGGGACGTTTGAGCCCACTACACATGGGTGACTTTAAAGAACTTCAACAGCTACTTTTAGCATTAGCATGTCCCTGACACAGAGATGATTTTCAGTGCCGTCCCTCCTAAAAGGCTGTGTATCGACTAAAGTAACGAGCATGGCCACAATCCCAGGAAGTGAGTCACGTGTCTCGCTTTAATGTGGCTAAAGTCTCTCACTGGAACTCTTAAATCCTCTCCATTCATTGTTAGCATTCTCTGTACAGTCGAGAAAAACAACCGTGAACGAGGAACCTGCTGAGTAGTTACGGGAA